ACCACTTGACCACTTGCCTGCACCACTTGACCACTTGCCAACCTTCTAGAAGGACTGCAGCTAGCCTTCTAGTCTATAGGTCTACGGATCGAATCCTGGCTACCTATAGACCTACGACAGACCTACCTACCACTAGCGGTTCTACAGGTCGCAGGTTCAACTCTTCGAGTTGACGCAGGTATTGTACACAGGTAAGTTGGGGAACTAGGGATCGAGCCCTGGGATCTACCTCAGCTACCACAAATTGGTGAATACCGTTTCAATATCGCATGGTCAAGTCATCCGCTGTGTTTATCTCTCCCGGTGCGGTGTGATACTCCTATCCTCTCCCCTTCCTTCTGTGTATGTATGGGCATATCCGGAAGTCTATGTGAGTGAGTGTTAGGCTTCAGGCAACGAACAACCAGAATCATAACAGTTGGTATCGGAGCAATTGGATCCAGGCTCTGGAGCGATTGATGAGTTGGAGCATCCATCATCATCTGGCGAGATACTGGAGTTGAGTCTCATGGCGATTCATCATCTTCAGGGTTGTTGTCCATAAGGGTGGTGGTTGTGGGTGTGTGGCGAGAAGAATTGGGCAGAGAGTGACTCACTCTTGACTGGGGTTGTGCAGGAGTGGTTGGCGATTGATACTCAGAGGCCTGGGAGGCTTTGAGAGGCTAAATATAGCCTGGCGATTCACCTGGAGGTTGGGGATTGTCAAGGAAGTGATCCCAGGAGGTGGCAATTGTGGAATTGGGTCAGGATCCCCAATTTCCAAGCAGCGCAGTACAGGGTGATGTGGCGTTGCACTGGTTGTAACAGTTATTCGCACCTAGGAGTCTTCATTTTTTGATTCTGTCAATTGGGGGTGAAGCGCCTTAGGGTAATCTGCTGGATCAACAAGTTTCAGGAGATTTGGTACGTGGGAACGCTGGATACTGGCAGGAGATGAAACTAGAGATGGGGTTGACAAGTCGGCCATAGCCAGGGTTTCATGCATCTTCTTCAGAGTTGACCCTGAAGTAAGTGTGTTCCTTATTCCATCCTGTGTGGCAATTCTAGGGCTATTTTTAGAATAGCGAAATTTGGTCTGTCTGTCAGGTGACAGTTGAAAATCAAAATTCAGACTGTGGGACAGCCATATCCAACTTCCCCTACCTACTTCTTTGACTTCTACTAACCCTTTTTGACCTTCCCTCTGGCTCATATTTCATCTGGGACTGCTTTACAGTATTGCGATTGACACTGTGCAGTGAATTAGTGAATTCAGGGGTCTATTGTCAGTGATAATGCAAATTTGAATTCTGCGCTGACATAGCTAAAGCTAGGCTAGACTAGGGTCAGTCACAACTTTAATTCTGTCCGTCAGAATTCAGTTCTGTCAGTCCCTGGTAAATCACAATTCAATATACTGTCAGTGTTTGAAATTGCACATCCAAATTTGGTGATCTGAGTCGGTTACAGTGAAAACTGTAATTCGCCATACCCAGGGTACGACATACAGGGTCATACAGTGTTGAGGTCTGTAGGGTAAGTCTAAAAATAGGCCATCTTGTAAATCGCTGCATCTTGGTCATCAGTAGAGACCTGTTTAATCTTAATTAGTCACTCTGCTTAATTACTAATCAATACTAATCAAGAACTGACCCTGACCCTCAAGCGGTCTGCTGAGACTGAGCACTCACTTGCTCAGACTAACCGGTCTTCTCTTTCCAGGCAGGTGACAACAATTGAGTTAGTACTGCAGAGAACACTCAATTCCTGTTACCTCTGGCTTGCTTCCTGATTGTTGTTGGGTTTTATTTATCTGTATTGTGGAAATGGTTGATGCAAGGAAAGCAGAGGCTTCTGAGGTTAAGCCTCAGATTCCGCTAGACCCTTTAGAGGTTGAACTGCAGGCCCAGGAGGAGAAACTCCGCCAACAGGCCAAGGCAGTTGAGACTCTAAAGGCTGAGTTGAAGAAGAAAGAGTCAGCCCAGAAAGAGGTCAGGAGGAAGTTATTGATTGCAGATGTGGAGAAGATCAGAGTTAGTGGGAGTTCCAGTCAGTATAATAAGGATATGGCTGAATTCATCCTTTTGCAGGATGATATCAACCACTCCTATTTTACTAACTAGGATGACCGGATTACCAGTTTGGAGAGCAGTCACTCAGCTTTTTCCAAAAAGTTGGATGACATCTCTGCCAAACTGGATCTGATCTTCACTCACCTTCAGATCCCTACGACTCCTCCTGCTCCTCCTCCCCTGGACCTTCTCAGGGAAAACCTGCATCACCCCCACACTCCAGACCTCCATCTCCACCCCCTACACCCACATCAATAGCAGCTTCACAACCCTCGTCACCATTTGAGTTTCAGCGGCCTAGGCTGACACCGCCACCCATGTTCTCAGGCGAGGACCCAACAGTGGATGAGGCTAACTGGGTTGCTGCACAGAGAACCTACCTGAGTGGGTTCAAATGTGACGAGGACGTGAAGGTGTCAGCCATCCTTGCTCGCTTGGAGCGATTAGAATTGAAATGGTGTACCTCCACCTCCAGCAAGCAAGGTATGGAGATGGCTGACTCGGCGCAGAGGTTGGGGGTGGCTGGATTTCTGCAGGCCCTGCAGGACCGGTTTGCAGACAAGGAGCAGGCCAGGAAAGCAGCAGACAAAATTATGCGCCTGGGCCAGAAAAAGTTTGATGGCTCCTTGTCCAAACTGTATTCCACCTTTGAGAGTCTGACATCGACTCCTGGGTTGGAGATGAGTGAGCAGGATCTGCTCATTCATTTCCTAAGGGCAGCGCCTGAGCAATTCCAGCTTGCTTTTTTCTCTCAGGGCCACAAGGACTGGCGGTCTTTTGGCAGAGCAGCCCTGGACTTGGAGTCCAAACTCCATGTCCATGAAGCACCTTCTAAAGGAAGGAAGGGACCCTCCTCCAAAGGGCGAAGGAGGAGGAAGGGTGCCCTGTTTGCTGCTGCAACTTCTGGTTCAGATAGTGACGCAGCATCCCATGGTGGGAGCACTCCACCTGGGACTGCATCATCATCTGCTGCAGATTCTGCTGTTCTTGCCCTGGCTGATGCTTTGATGGGCTTGACAAAGGGCAAGAACAGCAGAATCTGCAGCAGATGATGATGCAGTCCCAGGTGGAGGGCTCCCACCATGGTGCCCAGAGAGTACCATTACCACGTGACGTCCGTTGGCCAACTGGCCCCCTTGACCCTTCCACCTTCCCCTGGCATGCACTCAGGATCCAGGAGGGGGTCTGGAGGAAGAGAAAGGACAAGGGTGTCTGCCTGAAATGCGAGGGGGACCACTTTTTGAATGACTGTCCCAGCATGCCTCGCAGGTCTACAGGCAGCTCTAGTTCAAAAAACTAGAGCAGAGAGAGGTGGAAGCAGCAGCTCCTTCCACCAGTGCTGATTCACTTTCTGATGGAGGTGAATCTTCACATTCTCTCGGTGGTTCCTCTATTTCAGGAGTTGCATCCTCAGGGTCTTTCACTTTTGAAGACTTTGAGTTGTATGAGACGTGGGAGGAGGATGATGCTCAGTGTATTGATGATCTTTTCCTGTCCTTGCAGGAGAAGAAGAAGCATAAGTTTGAACTCATCCTGCTTCGACCCTTCATCCTGGGAGCCAATATAAGAGGGCTCTTAGACTGTGGGGCTACTCGCAACTTCATCTCTCCCAAGGCAGTCAGCAAGCTGCACTTGGATCAGAGGTTGGTGAAATTGCGACAGCCTTTGGAGGTTCGCATTGGGGACTCCTCCACAGTCAGGATTACTACTGTTGTCAAGTGTCTCACTGTGTCCTTTGACAAGCAGGGGGAAGTCAGGCACCGCCTGAACTTCTATGTGTTTCCTAACGTTCCCTTTGACCTTGTCTTCTCTATGCAGTGGCTTGGTGCCACCAATCCTAGGATCAACTGGCGGATCCCTAGGGTTGAGCTACCTGACCGGCATGGGGTATATCGCCCTTGCATGCTCGCTGACGAGTACCATCCGGCCAGCAGCTATTACTGCATGAGTGCTCGCAGATTTCTGCGATTCTCACGCCAGACTAACCACGCCCGTCTGTTCGTGGCTTTTGTCAAACAGACTGACGTGGAGACTGCTCCCAGTCCCTCTCAGATTCAGCAGGTTGTGGATAGCTTCTCAGATCTTATGGAGGAGCCTACTGGACTTGTCCATAGGCAAACCAAACATAAGATTGAGATCCTGCCTGGCTCGGTCCCTCCCAAGGGCCGGGTCTACAAAATGTCTCCTGCTGAACTCGAAGAGCTCAGGAAACAGTTAGACCCTGACCAGCAAGGGCTGGATCAGGCCCAGCACATCTGAGTTTGGGGCACCAGTCCTCTTTGTTCCAAAGGGGAATGGTGAATTCAGGATGTGTGTGGACTATCGTGGAATCAACAAAATCACGAGGAAGTCTACAGAGCCTCTTCCTCGCATTGATGATCTGTTGAACATGGTGCAGGGTTGTACCATCTTTAGCAAGATCGATCTCAAATCTGGCTATCACCAGATTGAGATGGCTGAAGGCGATGTCCACAAGACAACCTTCAAAACCAGGTATGGCACTTATGAGTACCTGGTTATGCTATTCGGTCTTTGCAATGCGCCAGGCACCTTCCAAACAGAGATGCATCACATACTGAGGCCTTACCTGGACAAGTTCATAGTTGTCTACCTTGATGACATCTAGGTATTCAGTTGTACTGTCCAGGAACATGCGCAGCATCTGGCTCTGGTCCTCCAGGCCTTGTGTGCTAACCAGTATAAGATCAACAGGGATAAGTCCTCTTTTGGTTCCTCTGTAGTCTATCTGGGTCACGTCATTTCTGGAGAGGGGTTGGCTCCTGAAGCAACGAAAGTTGTTGCCGTTCAGGACTGGCCGCGACCTGCTAACATTTGTGATGTCCGGTCATTCTTGGAGCTTGCATCGTACTATAGGAAGTTCATTAAGAACTTCTCTTCTATTGCAGTTCCCTTGACTGATCTCATAAACAAAGACACTTCCTTTCTTTGGACATCAGAATGTCAGGAGGCTTTCACACGTCTCAAGGAGGCCTTGATTCGTGCCCCTGTCTTGAAGCTACCTGACCCTTCCCTGCCTTTTGTGCTTACTACTGATAGTAGTCAGTATGGTGTAGGGGCGGTACTTCAGCAGGATGATGGGAATGGTCTGCAGCCCATTGAGTATATGAGCAAGAAGATCAAGACTAAAAAGTTGCAGGACTCTACCTTTGAGAAAGAGCTTTATGATCTTGTGTCAGCGCTCAAGCATTGGAAACACTTTCTCCTGGGCAAGCACTTCAAGATCTTTTCAGATCACTCCACCCTTCAGTGGGTGAAGTCCCAAGGAGAGCTGAATGACAAGCTTGCGCGCTATATTCAGTTCATTGACATGTTTGACTTTGAACTGAGACACAAGAAGGGCTGCTACAATCGAGTAGCAGATGCCCTTTCTCGTAGGCCTGACGCTCTTTTTCTGATCTCCTTCACTCACTCATTTGGAGAGAGGACACGTCAGACCATTGGCCAGTTGCTGCCCCAGGATGAGATCTTTGGGCCTATTGTGAGGAATCTCCAGGACGATCCTGCCTCTGAACCAGGATATACTCTGGTCTCAGGTCTGCCGTATACATGCAGCAAAGGTAAGGAGCGCCTGTGCATTCCCCAGGACCGCAAGCTGCGGACACTTCTGATGTCAGAGTGTCACGATGCTCATGGTCACTTTGGTGCCCTCAAATCTTATGCAGCCCTGTCGCAGCGCTTCTTCTGGAAGGAGATGAGGAGTGACATACTGCACTATGTGGAAACCAGTGAGTTATGCCAAAGGAACAAGGTTGTACGTCGACCTCCTCTTGGCCTACTCAAACCCCTACCTATCCCTGATGCACCTGCACAGTTAGTGTCAATTGACTTGACTGACTTGGGTACTCCGACTACACCGCGTGGTATGCATCAGGTCATGATATGTGTGGATCGGTTCTCCAAATATGCAGAGTTCATCCCCTTACCAACTGAGGCTCGTGTGACAGCCGTTCAGGCGGCGTTTGCTGACAGGTGGGTTACACATCATGGGCCACCCACCTCTATCGTCAGTGACAGAGATCCCCGATTTTGCAGCAATGAATGGCAATCCTACTCCAAGGATTACCTTCATTCTCGTCTGGATATGACATTTGGTCGGCATCCTGAAGCCAATGGACAGGCTGAAGTGATGAACCAGATTCTTTTCCAGCTGCTGCGTCTTGTGATCAGTCCTGATCAGCAGGACTGGGATCTCCATCTGGGTCGTGCACAGCTTGTGTATAACACGTTTGTACACTCCTTTACTGGCTACACACCCTACCGGTTACACGAGGGTCGTGAGCCAACGCAGCCTCTCGATAACATCATCGACAAGGCTACCCCTACGCTGACACCTGGAACTCCAGAGTTCACCAGGCGTTACCGTGTGGACATAGAGCGCACCCGTGCTAACCTGTTATAAGCCCAAAAGGCTATGATTCAGCAGGCTAATAAGCATAGGCGTCCTTCTACTATTCGCACAGGTGACTGGGTGTGGGTACTCAGTTCTGAGTTGTCACGAGAGGAGGACATATCGCCTAAGCTGCTACCACGATACATGGGTCCATGGCAGGTCTTAGATACAGTGGGAGCTGATCCATTTGGACCATCCTTTACAGTGGATGTCCCTCTGCATCTACAGACCTACCGTGTCTTTCATGCATCTAAGCTGTTGCCATTTACGCCAGCTGATGCATTCCCAGACAGGCCCCCACAGTTCGGTCCCCCTATCCCTGGCAAAGGGTATGAGGTCGAATCTGTGGAGGATGAGTCAGTTACAGGTCCAGATAAGGAGTACCTTGTGAAGTTCTTATACCAGCCACCAAGTCTGTCATCCTCAAATATGAGGCAGCACAGAAGGGAGCGCCCCTTCGACGCTCTGCACGTCGATGCCCCTAGCTCGGAGGTCCTCGCTCCGGGGAAGGGTAGGTCTGCAATGACTTGCTGTTTTCTGGTCGCCTGTAGCCTCTCTCTGTCGAGGCTGTACTATAGGTAGGACAGATTCACAATTTTGTTTGGCTGCGGGCTAACCGAAAGACCTACGTGTGAGGGAAATTCGTGAGGGACATATCTACAAATTCGGGAAAATACAGGCCCGGTACTAACCGGATTCCCTACAGCTACCCTAACTGCGGACAGCAGGCCCGGGCTACCCCTAGGACAGACAGGCCCTAAAGGCCTATTCTGAATAGACGGTCCTATAGCCTATAGCCGGGTCCGGTAGAGGCCGAGAGGCCGAAACAGAAACGGTACCGGTCAGTCAGTCAGTCCGGTCTAGGTCGAGTCTAGGCTAGTTAGAGTCTATAGATAGATTGGGCCCATCGGTTCCGGGCTTTTGGCTGTTGGTGCCATGTACATCGCTGCTGCACAACGCATGAACCGGAAGTGGTGACGGCTCAGCGTGGAAGGAGACAGGCATAGCCGGACCTGCGCTGTACTCTGCCAGCACGTAGGGGCTGACAGAGGTCTGGGTTATTGAGGTCTGCTGAAGGCGAGAGAGATTGGTGCCCTGCTGAACCGCCCTCCGGAGTGGGCTCCCAGGGGGTTTGCGCTGCAGCCATAGCTGCAGCTTCTTCTTCTCAGAGGTCATCTTGTCAGGGTTTGGTGGCGCTGCTGCAGACTTCCACCCGGGAAGTCTTCCGACACTTCGTCATCATCAGATACTGTGGCGCTGGTCTTCTTCTTCATCCTCTGAGTGGCGCTTGGCCTCAAAGGCCTGTTTCTCGGTGGCGCTTGATGTTTCAGGGACTTTGGGAGTACTTACTGGTGCTAATCAAGGTAGGGGAGTGAAGCGCTGCTCATTTCCGAGCAGGGCACTGTAGTACTGAAGTTATCCTGACAATTCGAGACTCTGAGTTTAATAAACAGTGTGATACTGTGTTTGGACTATCATCGTTATATTGTTTCCTGGATGTGATCTGCTCGGCTTTTCTCTATGACTGGTTGTGAGGATTGAGTGGAGTGAATTGCACTTTTAGTGTACCCTGTCATATCACATGGTCAAGTCTTTCGTTGTGTTTATCTCTCCCTGTGTGGTGTGATACTCCTATCCACTCCCCTTCCTTTTGTGTATGTATGGGCATATCCGGAAGTCTATGTGAGTGAGTGTTGGCCGTCAGGCAACGAAGAACCAGAATCATAATCTCTCTCTCTCTCTCTCTCTCTCTCTCTCTGTGTGTGTGTGTGTGTGTGTGTGTGTGTGTGTGTGTGTGTGTGTGTGTGTGTGTGTGTGTGTATCATCCTTGCACAGGGGCGACACTCATTGTCTCCATATCTATCCAATCTTCATGGATATCCCAAAGGATAGTGGAATAGACTAAACCAAGGGTACAAACTAGGTTTAAGTGTACAAACCAGTTAACATGGTAGCTCTGAAAGAGACGTGAGAGGCTTCCCGATTTCTTCTTCCTTCCTTCCTTGTGTAATGACCCGCCAAAAACACAGACTGAGTACACTGCTGATTTATGGGATTTGCCGCTGGAATGAATGCCTTGTTGAAATTCCCGCATTCTGCTGTGATTTCCATGTTTGTGTGTGTGTGCGTGCCTGCTGGTTTGCATGCCTGTCTGAGTGCTTGTCGGTTGAGTGTGTGTGTGACCCGCAAGGGTACTTGTTGGTTGCAAGGCCCCGCAGGGCCGGTACTTACCTGTGCCCGTGATTGTGAAGGGTTGCAAGGGGAAAACACTCGAGTAGCGGGGGTAGGCCCGCGACACTTAGAGCAGAGGGGAAAAACACTCAAGTAGGAGGAAGGCCGGTACCACTGAAGTAGTGGTAGAAGTGTTGGGTACTGGAGGCCGAGCAGAAGAAGACAAAATGCTGGCATTTTTAGAGGCCCAGTAGCGGTAGGTTAGAGGAAGGCCGGTACTAGTCCAAGTAGCCCTGGGTCTAGGGCCTACACGGAGGATAGCAGAGCCTGCAATGATGTTTCCCTCCGAAAGGGAGGAGGTACTCGGCCTAGGAAGTCACCGCCCAGGAGGCCGGTAGGCCGCTATATCTCCAGGAAGAGCAAAGAGCTCTTCCTCATTTGCGGTGTGCAAGGATTGGCGACATGCTGCTGGAGCGCAGCGCTGGTCTCGTGTAGCGCTGCTTGGAGGTGAAGGGCCGCTTTAGCTCAGCCGGGCTATGGCGAGCAGTCCAGCTTGAGGAGGAGGAAGAAGGGGGCATGATAGGAGAGTGGCTAGGCACTTACCTAGCTACGGTAGACACCATCTTCATCACCTTGTTGGGCGCTGCATCTGGAAGGCCCCAGTTGGGGTAGTGCTGCACCAAGGAAGCTCGAGGCAGAGTCAGGCATAGCGGGCCAGTCAGCAGCGGCATAGCTGCTTTGGGTTGTCCTTTGGACATCAGTGCAGCACCATAGCTGCTCTGGGTTGTCCTTTGGACGTCAGGGCAAGGCCCTCATTAGTCCGCCATAGCCTATGCATGAGAGAGGAGGCTGAA